TATTCTCTACCACAAACCGGAATTGATCCTGCTCAATACGCCCAATTTTCAATCGATCCAAAAAGCTTCTGAATTGCGAGCTCCCCCTTACCATGCGCTGCCCTCAGAAAGTCGTCTACGTGCGTGCATAAGCTGCGCATAATGTGCCCGCATCATCTACCCGAAAGTAAAGAGCTAAGAGAATCTGCGAAGTTCTCAATCCAAACTCGCGGCTACTCCTTTATACGGAGACACAAGTTCCTACCGGCATCGGTTGTGCCGTAGACGGGTACCCTGGCCGGGTAGCCTTTTTGGATGTTTGGGAACGCGAGGAGTGAGCAATCGTTCTAGTGGCTTCCCTTGGAAATACGAATTCTTAATGCCGTCAGCTCTTAGATGCTGGTGTGACTCAACACGATTCTGCAGTCAGATAGACGGCTCGAAGGCTGTGTATACATGAACACTTGGCGAACAAACCGGTTACAAATTGCGTGCCCTCCTCTTTGGTTGAAGACCTCTTAATCCACCTCTACCTTGGCTTAAGTTTTTGACGGCTCAAGAAAGTTGAGAATGTCGCCCCAGCCTTTTCCGCGAGCGCTTTGGCAAGCAAGGCAATCGTTGGGAAGGCAAAAAGCATTTGAGCTGAAATCCTCGGCCGCCACTGCTTGCACTGGCATTCAATCATTCTATATCAGCATCAGACTTTGCATCGACCATCAAAGGAAGGAGGAGCCGCTTCGGTTCATATGGTGTGCCATTTGATTGCCACGCCAGAGACTTGCAGCCAAGGGACTCGAGGATTTTTGCAATCCTGGTGGCTGGTGCAGTGCAGGTGCCAGATGTCATTCAATCAATCATGGCAGTTGTACCAACACAGAAACAGTGCTGTCACATCGCGCGCTCAGGCAAAACAGAGTCGCTACGAGTACCTTGCACTGAAGTGGCCTCATGGCAGCCAGCGAGTGGCCACCAGCCTGCACACATCACCGTCTTAAAGCTCGTGGCTCGTGACCAAACCGTGGCCCTGGGCGGAGCCTGTGTAAAGCTCGTGTTGCGATCGATGGAGCGGCCCAGCACCTCCATGAAATGACATCTGGCAACTGACTGCGCTTATCCCAAGCGGAACCTGGACGGGCTCCAATCTCGGGGCTAAGCAAATCCTTGAAACGGACTGATATGACTTGCCAGCACCGTCGTCAAACGACGCACTGTTGAACATGCAAACTGGAGACTCCTCATGTGACATGCTAGCATGATAAGCATTATAGGTAATTCTGCATCATGAATAACACTCACTGCATGTCCTACGTAACCTTGGAGAGAAAGAGCTGCGCAAAATATCGCAGCGACTGCAAACGCGCCTCTTTGACGGCTTCGGCAACGCGTTCTTCCTCTGGCGTCATGCTGGCCTTCCGCACAGACCGGGGCACCTACTATGCTATAAGACCGAAAACCACTAAAGCTGCAGAGCTACTCGCACGCCTGCTCAGCCTGCTCGGTGCTCTGCTCACTCAGAGTCTGCTGCTCGAGCCGCTTCCTCAGCCATCGCACGGCTACATCAATTCTCGCGAGTAACACGTATGGGCAAACAAATCAGAAGAACAAGTATCATGAGTGGCAGCATGTGGCAGCGCTGCGGAGTGGCCTAGCTAAAACAGCAATCCTGATTGACAGTCTAACAGAGTCTCCGGATGGCAGCGCGGTCTTTCTTTCCAGACTTTGTCAGGGGTATCGAATCCACCTCGGCAGTTTGGCACTCACGCTGACCCGATCATGCCAAGAATCGTCAAGCATTGGCCTTGCCCATAAACAACAAACTCACGCGCCGTCTGTCCGCGTGAGACTGGTTCATGAACAATGCAATTCCACATCCGGTAATTGTGGCAACAGAAGCTCCCAAGGGTTCCCAAAGCACAACCAAACGGCAAACGCGCACTAGTCTTCGACATGTCAAGACGAATGAGCCAGTGGTGCTGATGTGCCTTGCTCTTTTCAGTGCATAGGCATAGTATCTAAGACAGCATTCAACGACGAGACTTGCTCGTTGTGCAAGGTCGGTCCAAGCTGAGGGTTCGGGGCTGGATCTGGACAGATGCTGCGACGACATCTAGCGAAGACATAAAGTCCTCTGAAGTTGAGTCCAAGGGACATGCAGCCAAACCTGGTCAAGTGCTTGCCGAAAGGGAATCCGCGTGTGCAAGCTTTGTACACGGCCGAGGCAAGGCAGATATGCTCAGAGATTGGCACTTGCTATGTCGTTTTCCAAGGACTAGATTCAGATGGCACACTACTCAGCATCGTTAAGCAAAATAAGCAAAGAGGCAATGAGAGACGAATGGGCGTAGTTCTCCTGTTTCAACAAGAGAACTGCAAAGGATCATGCTCGTTGCGAAGCTCCAGAAGGACAAGCACAGCAAAAGACACGACTTGTGTCACTTGCCACGTCCTGGGCGAATCGCTGCACCGCAGGCAGGTCCGGAGTCAAAATGATGCAGTACAAGTTGTCGTTGTGCTTTGCAACAGCGGAATCCTTGGGTTTCAGGCTGACGTCACAAACAAAAAACCGTAAAGAGGGCCCACGCCCGAGCTTGCCCGTCGGCATAAAAACTCAGGTACTCGCTCTTGCTCCTCCTCTACTCAACCTCACTTAGAATATCTTAGAATGGTGTGCTGACGATTGTCACCTTCAGCATGCCTTCCTGATTGCGTGATTCTCGTTGCTATATGTGGTTGCACGGAGAGATCTCCGATAGTATGTCGTTGCATGTTGCAGGTGGCATTCACTTACAGGACAAGTGACACTACAAACTAATCTACTAGGCTACAGGAGACACGCACATTCAGAACACGATTGGCTTGAGCAGGAGTAAAACCAACTTGAATTTGGGCATCCTTCGCATGCGCATCCCTGCACGACGCTTTAAAAATCCCCCGGACGCCTGCAAACATGTAAACCCTTACCAAACTACCAACGAACATACCCTGAGCATGGAATGACGAAGACTCTGTCAGAGAAACTTCGTTCAACGAAGGCGCAGTGACATGGGGACATTTTGCCAGGATTGCTTCCAGCCCATCCAGATCTACCCGGAAGCCGCGGACCTTCACAACCTGCAGCAAGTCGTCAGGAGGACTCGACTGGTGCTGCATGCGAGCTCCCAAGAGATGTTTGTGAATTTTGCTGCCTTGTCCACACGTCCCATTATGAAGAGATATCCGTCTCCTCGGATGTCAATCAAACTACAAATGATTCGAGACTGTTCTGCACGACGCCTGATTGAGAGTCGTAATTGGGTTGAAAGTAATGTGAGTGGGGAATGCTGTACCCAATATACGCATGATTCCGAAGAGCCTACATGAGCAGGGATGTAGACGTCGGCGGAGCATAGCTCAAACAGGGTGATAATGTTTGTCATTCATGGTCTGGTGCCCTGCTTCTGCCACAATCACCAAATCAAACCATATTCACAAACCTGTGCCGAGATGTTTTGGTTTACACACTACACACACTATGGCTATGGTCAACTACAACACACACACACACAACAGCAGCAGAGCTAAGACACATCACGTTGCTTTAAAACACAACTGTCCAAAGGGTCGCGCGTGCGTGCGAGGGGGTCGCATCATGATCACGTCAATATGGCTTTCCCCATGTAGATGCCGCGTCAGCAAGGCTGCATCAACTAGACAAAAACACATGGTAACGGAGCCATTCCCCCTGTAGACGCCCGATTTCAGAACCTCCCACGCAAAACACACGTCGGTGGAATCATAACACAACAGAACCAGCGATTCCCCATGTAGACGTTCGATTCCACAAGCAAGCACTCAAGGCAAACATCGGTGGCATCACGGCACAAGCAAGCCAGCCATTCCCCATGTGGACGCCGTGTTTGGGAAGCACCCGGGCAAGACACAAGTTGCTTGGATCGGTTGCTGTGTTGTTAGAACATTGCGAATTTTGGAAGAGTTATATTCATGTAATAAGTACCACGGAAGTGCTTGGTAAGACATTATAAGTACTTCTAACCATGATAAAGGACTTATAAGTTCTATAAAGTGAATAAGGATTTGGAAGAGTTATATAATATTTGCATAACCATGATAAACATGTTAAATATGAACAAAGCAAAGATAAAGTTAATAACAAGTTAAGTAGAAGTTAGGCCGGCCGGGGTAATAAAGTTACTAAGACAATAACAAAATTACTAAATCCTAGAAGGTGTTTTGTTACACCGGCTACCATGTGTTTCGTCCCACCGCTTTTGCTTATTTTCTGCTCTGTTTGCAGTGCAACTGAAGATCAAAGGTGCGGAATTCTCCAAGCTTGTGCCAGCTCAAACAGCTTCTAGAAGCTCGTGGTTTAGTTTTTTTTCGTGGCATACAAGGGTTTAGGATTAGGGTTTAGGGTTTATTATGCTGTTGTTGAAGGTTTTCTTGGCACTAGGGTAGCTCGTGTAAGCTCCCGTACAGCCTTGTGGAGGCTTGCAAGTTAGGATTGGGGTTTAGGGTTTGTAGGGTTGTATTTTAAGCTTTTTTCTTTGCTATAGAGGGTAGCTTGTGTCAGCTCCCCTACAGCTTGTGGAAGCTTGCAAGTCAGCTTTTGGAAGCTTGCAAGCTAGCTTGTGGAAGCTTCCAAGAGAGCTTATGAAAGCTTCCAAGAGTTGTGCACTG